ATATACTCTAGTCCCTTTTCTCTCGTGTTTTAAAATGTTGTGTATAAACACAAACTATGCTATAATCTGCGTTGCTCCAATGCTCAAGGAATTAGGTGATTTTGTTCATTTGAAAAAGTATAACTGTAATCGCAAATAAGCTCAGGGTTATGACACGTGTTTTGGGAAACTATTCTGCGTCAATCTGGTAATCCACGATGCAATACATTGAAAGAGTTCTGTAATTTTGTACTAAGATGCCATTTATTCAGTTGTGCGACCATCTATCAACGACATAAAATGTAGACGTGGGGTTTACGCGCTGTAGGGTACAGAAAATTTATATTAAATCACATGCATTCTCTTCGGCTCGAGTTGTTAAACTATAACTTTCATTTTTTCCAAAGATGCTCAGTTTTCTTTTTCTTTGCAGGCCTGCATGTTAATGGACGTCTTCGTGGGAACCAACATCTTAACTGCATGGGCTGCGGTGTACTTGGCGTTGCCAATCCTAGCGAGCAGCGCCATAAACCCATGGGTCTACGGTTATCGAAATTCGGAACTTCGCGCCGCCGTGCGAAAAGTAATCGACGATCTCCTTACCGCGCTCGGTTTCACTTATCGTAGCCAACACCAAAACTCCGATCCGCTGCAGCCCAGCGGCGTCGTTACGGCCGGCGATCCGGCATCGTTCATTCATCACGTGCAAGGGGATTGTTTCACCGCGAAACCTTGCGGCGAATTTCTACTGGTGCCAATAGCTAGACCGGAAAGTTCGGGGGTGGTATCGGACGCCGACACTCCGAAAACGTTGAAGGAACCGCCGAGAATCGTGATCTCCAGAGATCCACCCCTAAGGTTATCGAAGAGTATGATTGATAGTTTCGCGATTTCTAAGGGTCAGGATGTTGTGGTTATTAAAAACGGAGAGTGCGGAATGAAACACGGTGCTAGCGTTGTTTAAGAGAATATATTTTCCTGTGGTATAACGACGAAGGCTGTTGAAATGGAATTTTGTGATGTATAGAAAATTTATTCAGATTCTAAGTGATAGAGGAGGTGTGAGGTCAGGAAGTAATTAAGCTGGACTTTTGTAAATTAATTTCCGCAGGTAGATTGCAAGTAATGTAATTTACTTTTTCTTCGTACCTTCAAGATAAATTGTGAAAGGTGTGCATCTATTGTAGACAATTCACATAAGTGGATTTGCGGTTAGCTCTCTATAAGCTACTTTTCTGTAGCTATGAAGTATAGGTACTTTGCCTAGTGAAATGTCTCAAAAACTGCATTCACCTTATCCTCGAAATGAAAATATAATTTTCTCATAAAACATTGTACAACGTAGGGAATCGATTTTACCCGAAAAGTCGTAAAAGAAAACGTTTCAAGTACATATAACGGTCTCTGGTGGGTTTCCCCTAATACATGCTGTACAAATAATTTAAGAGTTTATACTTACTCTGGAAACTTATGACGTACGTATCAGACATATGACTGTATTTACTGCTTTATAATTTGAAGCCGTAATTGCCAACGATTCCATTCACAGCAGTCATAAATATAAGTTAGATGGGACCAAACCCATTGCAGTTTGTTCAACACGTACAAATTTAGATAGGTAATCATTTCTGGTTGCTCAACCCTATAGATTCGTACAGCTGTATACAAATTGGACCTGAAAGGAACACGATATTTCATTTGATTGCTTGTTTACCTATACGCTTAGTTTCGGTTTTGTTGCCATTCATGTTCTCTCTATTATCGTTTTAAATTCAAAATTACTTGCAATCTCTAGGTATACAGGCGCAACATTTTGTTTTCAAGAGAATACTTAGAGTCACTTTAGGAACATCCTAAGAGCTTAACCGCCATAAACCTGTATTAGTATCTATTTTTTCTAATACCGACCTAATCTTCGTAAAAAGATTAGATTAGGTCGATGTTACGAAAATGTATCAAAACTGTTTTGTTACAGTGCGTTGAAAAGGTCAAACGAAACATGCTTTGGGAGTATTTTAATATCTATACTATTGAAAACAAAATGTAGTCCTGTATACACTTCTTAAATGTTATTTTCTCAATAACACACAACGAATTGTTACCAAATATGTTTGATTCAATGTCATCGATGTCTTTACTTATTATCGTTAAGTAATTGTGCCAATTCAAAGTGTACTGCGTCATAATTTTTAACGTTTCATACACTTTCAATGTTCATGTAAACCACAAGATTTATTCTGTAATACATAAGAAATTATATTTATATGTGGAAGGTACTATTATGAGGAGGCTGTGACTGTATAAAATAAAACGTTTTTTATTATTCTGTATTGTTTTAATTATCCATCTGCCATCTATTAACACTATAATTCTCATTTTAACCCAAAAAAATAAACATTTTTAGCTTGTAACAACATTGTTGTTAAATTTGATTGTGCAAACGGCGATAATATGGCTTAACATTCGCGTATACAGGGTGTAGAAACGGTTTAGACACCGTTCTTGCGGATCTTTGAGGGGGGGAAGCCAGAGAAGTGAATGGTGATCCGTCACTACCGTAAAATGAACGCCTTCAAGGTAGTGTTGTTCAATACCCCAGAAGACAACTAGACATTCATAGGAAAGTTTGACAAGAAACGTCGATACCATGAACAGACACTCCGAAATCGTTCATTGATCGTAGTAGGAATTTGAATATTTAAATTGGTATTTTAATTTATCGGGCTTTGGGTACCACCCATAATAACCCTCAGAATATCCTAATTATTTGAGATTAGGGCGACAAAAATGGCATTTTTCCCGGTTCACAACCAAGCCAGTAGCTTGTAAATTGTCAAATACAAGTATCAAGCGGGTATTGACGAAACGTACGGCCATGGATAAGCGTCTTTGATTCTCCATAGCATTCAACTTCCGATAGTCAATGAAAACGAAAAGTGTGGTCGTTTTTGGGTATGAGACAAATATGGGAAGCCCAACCACTTTTAGAAGGCTCAATGATTCCAGATTAGAGCATATAACCTCATTGTTGATTATTTTTTGTTTTATCGGGCTTACGGGATAATGCCGCTGTTTGATATTTTTTACTTCTGAAAGAACAATGGTCTCATGCTCTCCAACGATGACTAACCCTAACACGGATTCCCTGAATGAACATTTGTCATCACGAAGAATCTCCAATGATTGTCTTTTATCCAATGAGGGTGATGGTGCAAAATGCCAAACATTATTTGTTAGAATAGGAACAATCCCTATGGCTTTCAAAAAATCTTGGTATACGTTTAGAATCATGATTAAATTTATAACAGCTATTTTGTTTTTGGGGTTGTTATATATCCAGATGAGTAACATTTGTCGACATTCGCAACCGTACAAGTGGTAGTTTCGCAAATCCTAGACACGTTAACATATTGTACCCCTCTTTTCTAGTTATGGAATGCGGCGAACCTGAAGCTAGGAGTCTTAGAAGAGAAACGCCACGAATTGCGATTTGAATAGAAGGTCGAGCATCATCAGAAACGTGTTTAATAATAAAATCCAATTTCATCTGTGTTAGACAAAAGGTGGGGAAAAGTAACGGTGTGACCTGAATGAGGTGTGTGATTTGACGAGTTCCCCCACTGGCGTTTACCGATTCCCTGGTAATCCGGTTACAACGAACGCAATTTTTTATCCCTTTAGCCCATAACGGTAACATATCAGCAATTTCCGTTCGGGACATTCAGAAATCGTATGGCCTAATTTTTGGCAGTTCCAGCATGGGCCATTTACTGAATGGATTGGAGCTTGATAGGCAGAGGACCTAATTTATCTAAATAAAATGGAAGCAAGTTTCTTTTAATGATCGTGACTTGTTGTCGTTTAGATGGCGGGTGAGTAAGTCGGGAAAACATGTTTTGCATACGTGCTATGGACATCCTGAAATCAGACCCAGATTCTCCGTAACAAAACTGACGAGTGAGCTGGCCGTCGTTTTGTCGAGAATGACCTGTAGTCAAGGGTTGATTCGATTGGTTGATCAGTAAGTAGAAAGAGAAAAGAACGTGAGCAGGACGGTTAATTTCAGTCATTCTTTGTGGATGTGAGAAGTTGGTTGTGTATAAGAAAAGAGTTCAGAGGATAGTTCAAGAGTTCAATTGTCGTAGGTAATTGCACAAGTGCATCAAAATTACCGATAATTTTTTTGAAAGCATTGTTGTCTAAAAACTGCATGAGTTTATTTTAAAATTTTGGCGAAAGAGTCCGACACCGAAGGTGGAGGGCTCTTTTAACAAAATATGAAAATGACCGAATGCAGTTTTTTACTGACAACATGCTTGAATAAAAAATTATCAGGTTTATTTTGATGCACGAGTGTAATTTAGGGGACTATTCAATTCATCTAACATTTGTCACATTTCGACCAGTGAAATGTCGAGATTTCAAATTGTTGAGCCAATGGGAACGAATTATAGTGATAATTTCACGTGTGGTATTTCAGCGATAATTTCACGTGTGGTATTTCAGCGACAATTCAATGCGATTATTCAATGACATTTGTCAAACTTCCACCAGTGAAATGTCGCGAAATTTTGTCGTATTAACCGGAACATTCTTCTTAGTTTGTTAATCAATTTCGACAACCCACTTATCACCACATCTTTTAATTTAATCACTCATAACGAATTAGCTTGGAGCACAAAAGTTCGAATAGAATCGATAGCAAAATGAAAAGCAACTTCCGTAATTTATTTTGACGTTTATTGTTGTCATGGAAATACATTCGCGTGGGTAATTATGCTTAATTTTTCTTTTGATTCATTGAATAGTCCTCCGAATACCATTCGTAGTCGAAGTATTTGTAGATTATTTTTGAGCTGCTGCTCCACTCATGCTAGTTACGCTTTTTAACTAGCATTCGTGACAGCACCTCAAAAATATTCGACAATACTTCGACTACTTATGGTATTATATATGAATATTTCCCGAACAAGCATTACTTGTCAAACTGACGTTACCTACTTATAAATTGTCGGTGTATCGTGAAATTGTCCAAAGGAGTTGCCAGTTGCCATGGATATGGACAGTGCAATTATCGCAGGGCTCTTTCGCTTTCTACAGTGCAATTATCAATAGTAATATAACAAGGGCGACACATGCTTACCGATAATTTTGCCCACGCGAGGAATCACGAGTGCTGGTTGCACTGAAAACTAGTTTTCTAAGGGCAACCAGTACGAGGATTCTTCGCAAGGGCAAAATTATCCGTAAGCGTGTCGCCCGCGCTTATATTCTGCAGATAATTTCACGAAACACCGTAGAGATTGTGATTAAAAATCGGGTGAATATTACCGTGAAATTCTAGTTGCTTGTTCTATTCAGCATTTCTATAGCAACTAAAACAATTTATACCAACAAATCTCAAATTTGACCAGTGCGTCGGTTATTTATAGTAATACACCTAATATTCTGCGCGAATCCTGCTTTCTGCTGGACAAATATGAGCACTACGCGATTCGGTGAGGCTTCCAAAGCTACTATTAACGTGGCTATCGATCAAGTGACGCCAATAAATACTAAGAGATCGAATGGTTACGTATGGAAGCAGTTTCATGAATTTTGCGGACAACGAGGTTACGAATTAACAAGAACGACGCCCACCACAAAACTTGCCCTAATTATGAAGGATTGGGGGTACAACATGAAACAGAAGAATGGAGAAGACTATAAGGAATCGGTGATAAAAACAATGTGGAACGTGACCGCCAAGCAGCTTCAAAAATTGTATTTTCAAGAATTCGGTGTAAGGTTTGATCCATTTTCTGACGTGGAGTTTAAACAAAGTCGCGCCGCCCGAGACGCCAAAAGACGTGAACTGCAGAAGCTGCCTGAAAAACGGAAGTGCAGCTCATCTGCCCTGAGTGATGCGGAATATAAAGATATTGTTTCAAAGCTCGACGAGGATACACCTGACGGTTTGGAACGAAAATTCTACTACATTGCTAGCTATGAACTGGCTTGGCGAGGAGGGGAAGCCGCAGTTGCTGAGGTGAATTTTTTCCAGGACGAGGTAAGCAATTCCGGCGTCTGGTCCGGAAGAATAGAATACAACCCAGTATTTAGTAAGACTGCACAAGGTGGAGGTCGGAAACTAGCAGACAGCAAATGGCTGGTAGCTAACAGGGAGAAGTCGGAATTTTGTCCTGTGAGGTATCAATTGTTATTTTGTAAAATTACAAGTTTATTTAGTATCATCTGAATAATTCAGGTTATTCAAGAAGCTCCTGAGTAAGATAGGACCAAATGTTACTACAAACAGGCTGTTCCTGACTCCCAACCCACTATGGAAGGATCCTTCTTCCGTTGGCTGGTACAAAAGTTCTCCTGTTGGAAAAAATCAAATAGGGAAATGGACGAAATCTGATGCGAAACAAATCGGCGTTGATACAACAATAACGAAAATCACCAATCACTCTTTGAGATCCTCAGCAGTCTCCCATTTGGCAAGAGGGGGTGTTGGCGAAGAGCAGTTAATAAAGATTACTGGACATGCGAGCACAGCTTCCATTAAGCCCTACCTCCAGCTGGATTCATGTCATCATGCTAAAATAATAGGAAAAATGAGGAATGAAGCATCATCGTCCACTTATTCTTCAACTTTAATTACAAGTTCCAGCTCATCGAGCTCCTCAACAAATCTTGAAAAAGAGTGTGACGTTAGCGCAAAAAAACCTAGAATTATGAATTTTTATAATTGTACCTTTCATAGCAATCAATTTTGATTTTTCAAAGCTTGTATAATTTAGAGTTTCAACTCTTCAAGAAAAGAAATAATTGCTTATTCTGTTGTTTCTTTCTCCAGCTACGATTATTTTTGAGTTTTCATTATGACGCGTCGTATGCGGGACGTCACCAATAATCTTCCCTAGGGCGATTATCGCGATAACCATCCCTAGAGAAATTATCAGAAAATGAGATCCTGATTGGGCAGTTTTTTCAAAATGGACAGTTTTGATTTGGCCGCGTCAGTCATGTGACAGTTGAGTGTAATTATCGCTGTAATTGAGCGATAATTGCACACCTCATATGGCATTTATGACATATGAGGGAAATATTCGTTAGAACAGTGAATAGGTCGAATGTTTGTCACATATTCAGTGTATTGTGAGTACTTTTGTCGATCCAGGCATTGTACGCGTAAGAGAGGCCTTTTGGTTAGTCAAGTGGTCGATCACATGTGCAGAGTACATTGTTTTCAGGCCTTGAGTGCCTTTTTTTTTAGCATAGTTAGTTGATTATTGTTGAATAAATTTGTTTCGTGTGTAAATGATCAATTTGTGTTTAATTGAATCCAGATGGCGTCCCAGTGATCACGATCAATTTTCTGTTATAGTAGTATAGTACTTCACGCACCTAAAAATTTCGATAATGTCGGTCTGTCTGTCGATCCGTCTGTACTCTAATTTTCGGCTAAATGTCTGAGCCGATTGAAACCAAATTTGATACACATATTGACATAAAAAAAGAGCTGGAAAGCTTTTAGGCAGAACGCGCATGCACAGGTGTGTCTGTGCTAGCCACAGCAAATTGTAAATAGCAGCCCAAATTTTTATGAATATTCTTAAACAGTATATATCAAATTGCACATGTGTAGCAAATTTCAATTTTTATTTTTACTAGTGGTTAAAAGTGTTCCATTTACCTCAAAGTCAATCTGCCGCAATCTGGAAAATGTTAGTATGCATTCCTGTGAAGATGATTTTAAGTATGGGCATTGGCTCAAAACGCTGACATAGGTTTTGTCAATGAGCAAATATTTTTTGAAACCTTTGACCTTTGCTCAAATTTACACTTTGCAGAGATGTTAACTATTCCAAAGAAAAATAAAATCCTCCAAATCTGTTTAGTCGCTTGAGACTAAAGATAAGAAAAGGTAATTAAATTCACAAAAAAATGCGTCCCAAATGGAGAAAATATAGACGCAATTACGCAACACAATAATGTGTTTTCTTTGTAAGAGGAAAACTCTTGTCAATTTATCTTCTCTTAATACAATACAATTGCAAAAATAATTAATAATGAACCGATATTTTTGACGTATTAGTGCTTTTAGACTTCCACAGGTGATATAGATTGTTTATGCTTTAATGCTTGTAATATTACTGGTCCCATTTTAACTTAATGCGAGGTTTGTATGTCGTCATTTGAAAAGTGACGAGTTTCCTAATAAATTTGGTTTTTTGTTCAACACTACAGGATTATAGGCAACTAACCATACACGATCCAAGTAGTGACGACTTTAGTTTATCCTGAAATTGACGTACCCATAATTACAGTGCCCCCATATCTGTCACTACCCCATTTTATGTTCGCCCTCCCCCCCTCCACTTTTTTTACTACGAAAATGCACGTTTTGAAGCACCAGGAATCCGAATCAAACAAAATTTCGAATATGTCCGTCTGTCGGTCGGTCTGTACTCTCATTTCTGGCTAAACGGCTGAATCGATTTCTGCCACATTGGATTTAAATTTGCTACTCCCTCGTCTATAGGTAGTTTTTTTTTCGCAACTAAAGACATTTCGTCCACCAAGTATTTTAACACTAGAAGCCCCAGGAGGCGTCAATTGACCACATTTAAGAATTAAATTTATGGCTTTATCACTTTTTCTTATTTGGCACTAGATTAATTAAATGAAATTTACTTTTGCCTCATTACTGACGCATCGTTTTTCATTTTGTCTAACTTTCCATAAATATTGTTCTTTTATAGTTACGATTTCTCATGTAAAGTGTGTTCAAGATATAGAGAGTCACCTCAATATCTCTTTTATTGGGGGAGATTCGAAAATATGGTCAAATATAATTTTTTCTATTTCGGTGTCACAATGATGATTTTGTGCAACTGTTTTCGGCCTAAAACAGCTGTACAAAGACAGTGATTATAGTCGTTTTTTTTGGTAACTCATCTCTTAAGTTGGCAGTTACTAGTTAGTACAAGTAGGTACTTCGTTGGGTACTTCCATGTTTGAACTTCAAAATGTCAGTCTTACTACGCTGCCAACCTAAAACTTAATGGCATAAAAAGTGTTCCCAACATAAAACATGTTAGTTCTAATGTTCCCTATAGTTTCTGATAATGATTTTTTTAATTAAATTAAAGCACCGAAATAGAAAAAATAGTATGAAAAACGCGTGTTACAATACTTTATTGTAATACTCCTATCTTGCGGACACTCGTGGCTACGCTTCGCGTCGCCACTCGTGCCGCAAGATAGTCGTATTACAATAGGTCGCATTGTAACACTTGTCTTTCAATATACTATTGTATGTGATATCACCATCTATCCGATCGCATATTGAAACTTTCCGTATCACTTCCTGTTAAACCGGAAATCGATGAAACTTTTGTTTTTCAAATAAAATGCCTACGTTTTTTTAAAGATTTTTGGAAATTTCCAGTACGACAACATCAAACACGAATACGGTTGACGTATTTACCATGAACGCACCGCGCGCAAACGTAATTTAAAAGTATGGAGACAACTTCCACGCTCTCTTTCTGCATCAAGACATCGCTGCGTCGTCTTCTCCAGGCTGGTTAAGAAAAAAGAAAGAAACCGTCTATTGTCCTGCTTTCGTGAGGGTGGCAAGAGTATCCACGCGTCTCAAAAGAAAAGTTTGTCGTTAACGAGGGTGGCAAGAATATCCCCGCCGCAGCCACAAATTTGGTGCATCACGCTGTTTTCTTCTATTAGTGACCAACCGTCCGCCAACGGCACATTTTGTAATAAATTGCATACAATACTTATTTACTTTGTACAAAATAGGGAGTAGCTTAACCTTTTGTCTCTGTTTTACTTGCCCTAAAAGATTAACCTTCCTGGAAACTACACAAGTAGTGGTTTATCGGCGTAGGCTCGCGATACTTCACATATCCCCACAGAAAATAACCCATAGGTGTGATATCACAAGATCGCAGAGGCCAATTCACAGATCCATTGCGCATCGAACGTTTCCTCCAATGAATTGAATGTTTCGAACGCGGTGGGGCATGTTGAGCCGTCTTGTTGAAACCAAAACTCTTCCACATTAACGCCATTCAATTGTGGCACGAAAAAGGTAGTAATAATGGATCTATATAGCGGTCTCCATTGACTTTCACGTTCTGGCCAAGAATATCTTCGCCGAAATATGAACCAATGATTCCCACAGCCTATAAATCACACGAAACAGATATTTTTTGTGGATTTAACAATGGTTTCTGGATTTTCTTCACTTCTATTCTGTCAATTTTGTCAAGAGCAACCTTGTCTCCGGCCCATTCACCGAATTTTGCATGCGTTGTTCTGGTGTAAGTCTATTGATGTTGAAATGGCAAACCTTACTGATGAGCACAAATCAGTCAGCTTTCAAATTGTTTCTTACTAGAAACAGTATCGTCAATTCGAAAAACAAACGTCTAAAAAACACCCTTTAGTCTTAGGACTTGTGCAATAAAAAATGAAATCTCTATTCAATAGGCTTCCTCGGCGTCACAGGACAAGCACGCACTGTGAGGGCGGGGAGGCGATTAGGTGACCGTGGTCGAGGTACCTACTTACTTTCCGCAGCAAGCAGAACTTGTCGGTGATTTTAAAAGATCCGGGCCATTTCAAATTCGCCACGTCTTGGTCCCCGGGCATAGGGTTGAGCAGGCCTGTATATAAAGATAAACCATCTAAAAATACGACCGGAAACACAAAAATCATTTGAAATGCATATAGGGCCAATTAAGCCCTCGTGGGGTACGTAAGGGGGTAACAAAGCTTGGGTCTTCTAGTCTAGTGTATCTTAAGAAAAGTAACAAGAGGCTCGGAGTTATATATCATTGGGACTATAGCATCTACTGGTGGGCAATTCTAGATTTATTTTACCAAAAACCTGAGCTTCCACGAAAATTAACATAGGGTAATCTTTTTTAGCACGGACATAATGGGTTGTCTCTTCCTAGGTTTTCGTGCTCGCCGAACGTAATTATATTAGCCCTAGAATATAACACTTCTATATTGCACGTAAACTTCTTATTATCCAAGGAATTTCATTCGTAAAGAACAGAAGACGTCTAGATAATTTAATTAGCATACAAAATTCATAAATACATGATATTAGGAAGATAGGTTTATTAGGTCTGACTATGTTTTACACTAAACTAAGATAATAATTTACTTAAACTATGAATTGCAGTCTTACAAAATGCTTTGAGCATTTCTCTTTTTTTACATATTTTCATTAATCTACTGACTTTCTTGTGCGCACTAAATGTGGAAAAGCGCTTGTTATTACCCCATTACGACAGTTCAAAAGGCAAATGCGAGACCAGACTTACTTCCAGATCTCGTTGATGTTTAGAACCATTTAAAAATATGTACAACATCTCAATAATTAAATGCAATCTTACTACATTAATATGTACAGTATGACTTTTAAATCCTAAGCACCTTCTAAGTACGTATCGATGCAGCTTCAGGCGTTGCCTTACATATCGGGCCGGTATTTTCTAGCTCCATTTTCTTCAAGTTTTCAACAACTGCCGAGTGTTCATCGATTAACTTCCAAAATTCGTGTTTTCGATGTTCCGCTTCTTCCTGCAATGCAAAAGGAATAAGAATAATTCATCTGCTACATTATTTGAAGATCTATGGACCTAATTGAAACTGACTTTCGGGTGGTACTCAAACTCACCAATATTTTTCTAATTGTCGCATCTGATGTCTGCCTTGTATAAGGCCTCTGTGTTCTTTGGTACACGGGAGCTTCTTGCGTTAAACAGTCATCTTTGCTCGTGTTTTTAGCCGAATCAAAGTCTTCGATTACGATACTGAAACAATAAAGAACTTATAAGTATGCTCTTTGTGTTGGTTTCATTAAAAGATTTAATTTCCTATCCGCAATATGTTTCGTGTTAAGAACAATTTAAATNAGTAGGGAAAGAATGGGGGTGCGCAGATCCTCTTTGACCTTGGGTTCCGCGCATATGGGCTCTATATGGAAGGGGATGCGCAGATCCTGATCAGAATCCTATGGGGACTCAATGAATCCTCTGACCTACTTTTAAAATGCGAGTGGGGTCTCAGAGAATCCTCTGACCTACTTTTAAAATGCGAGTGGGTTCTCAGAGAATCCTCGATGACCTAGTTACAACCCATTGGGGTCTCAAATGATCCTTCCTTAACGGATGGGGTCTCAAATGAGCCGTTTAGCTCCGGTGGGATTATTAGTTTAGTATCTTTGTGTAATTAACAAGATGTGGATGTGTTACGCTGCTGAAAATTGGCCCAAAGCCGTTGACGCTTACACGGGCGTGGAACGTTTAGTACAAGAACTGTCAGCCTTAGTGTTGGATGCGGAACACGAAGTCGTGTATGGACTAGGCCGTTTTTGTACTGAAGAAGAGTGTAAAGAGTTTATTAAAAAATATAGTCGTGGTATTAAGTTGTGTAATTTATTCTTGAGCGGTAAATACTGTTTAACTTGTCTGAGACGCCAACTTTGCAAAGCTGGATTGGATGGTGCTGCAAGGGAATTGAAGCATTGGGATAATCCAGAGTCCAGTGACGGGGAAAATGAAGCAGAAAACGAAGGAGAAGAAGAAGATAACGAAGAGCAAGAGGAATGTTAGTTGCTTGCTGGATAATTTTGTAGAGTTAGAAAGGGATGCCTATAACAGATATTTCATATTTAGAAAAGTGTATCGTTTAAGACTAGCTAAGGTATACAAAACTGCTCAACGTGTATGTTATAAGTTTATTAATGGAGACGGTTGTTATAAATGTTTTAAAACGCAAATGTGCGTATTGGGTCTGAAAGACTTTGTAAAATGAAACGTGTTAGCTTTGACGAAACAAAAAATACAGTTCATGTAATACGAGCTTGGTCCTTTGCTTACACAGAAGCAAGGAAAGGCCAATGGCAAACTGCTGCTTTAGATCGACATCGTTTTAAATGTAGAATTGAAAACACGGAATCTGTGTTAGAACCCATATTATGTAATCATATCAAAATGTCCGAACTGTACAATAAATAAAGTAAAAAAAATATATTTTGTTTATTTTAAAAAACTTACTGAATTACATAGGTGCTATAAATGTGATAGACGTTAGATAAAGGGGGTCTCAGACCTCGATGGCCTAGTTACAACCCATTGGGGTCATATTCGTTAAACGGAGCATTAACAAAATGAAAAGTAAAACGACATAAAGTAGAATCAATGGGGACTCAATGAATCCTCTGACCTACTTTTAAAATGCGAGTGGGGTCTCAGAGAATCCTCGATGGCCAAGTTACAACCCATTGGGATCATATTCGTTAAACGGGGCATTAACAAAATGAAAAGTAAAACGACATAAAGTAGAATCTATTTTGTAATATTAATTTGCTCGCAACTTAAGTGCTTCTATAAAAGAGTAATTAATCAGTTCATAGTTTGTGTGTACAATGAAGGAGTCATTAAAAAAAAGTCAACAATGTTCTCGCTCTAAGTGCTTTTTTTAATCAAACGCATTTCGAAAAGGATTTATTATTATTTTAACAAAAACAAGTATTAGAAGTGATTTAGTATTAAAATTACTGCTATATGACATTTGTTAATAATAAATCCGGAACTCTACGCTAATTGAAAACGCATCAATTAGAACACTGTAAACAAAAATAATATTAGGTAATAAATCTAAAGCGATAAGTGTACTATAATGCCCATCTTATAAAATATACAATTTTAATGCGTTTGGAAACATAAAAAGTAATTACCTATCTAGCACGTGTTTCTTATAATGTAATCTGCTTAAATTACTGGCAAAACCGCAGGGATATAGATGTTAGGTAAATGTCATTGATATCGGTCATGTCGTTTAGGGTATTGGAACTCGACGTCGACGTATAAAAGGGATTAGCAGGTAGTAAACTCTTCGTGAGAGGCGCACATTTTGCTTTAGTTAATGCTTAGATGCGCGTTCTTGTTTGTGCTTAAGGAATTCGTTACTACTACATTTTGTATTTTACAAGGTAAGATAGAATCAATTTGTGAGATTTGTCGCGCTTTCTTCATAAGCGTTGCTTCTTAAGTATATTTTACGTACTAGTTTTAGATTCGTACTTGCTGTATATTTAGAATGAGGTTGCGGGGTATTTCAAGAGTAGGTAATAAAATTCTTGTAAAGTATTAATACAAATATAATTTTAATTGTCTTCTAGTGTCTACAAACGAAAAGCGCGTCGCGCTAAATGAACTCAGGATTGGCGGCACGCCCGGTCGTATTAATAAACTGAACAATGGTAAACCCCAATTTGTTAAGAGAATAGTTGTTGGTATATGCGACGTAGGCCGATCCACAGTCAATTTGAATGGGAATTGATCATCTATCGGGTATTCTTAAAAGAAAACATTAAGGTTAGTTAGTATTTTTTGTTAACTTACCGATGTAATGCATCTTGTAGTTAGCGTTTAATGTAAAACTTGTAGTTAGATTAAGTAACGTGTAATGAAAATAAAATGTGTATTACTCTATATATATGGTGGTAATCAATGTGTAAAAATGGGGAGTAAGCCCAATGAAAGAAAAGTTTATATTATTATTAATTAAAGTGCATCGAAGCCGGTTTTAAATAGGTGATTGATTCCATTTGGAAAATCCATATATTGAAAAAATAAGTAAAGCTATAGGACAGTTTATTTATTGATAGCGTGTTCGTTTACAAAAAAAATTGGTTAAACGTACTAATATTACATTTATTGTTTTAAGGAGAATTTTAATTGAAAGTACATTTACAAAATTATGAATATGTGAAAACTTTTTTACGTAAAGCGATTAATAAAGTATAATTCGACGGTGTTTCCTTGTTCTTTGAGAGTAAAGGTGAGCGAATCGAAACTTGACATTATCGAAGGACCTGTTGGAGGTACCGTGACGACAAATACAGCTGTTTCTCCGTCCCTCACGATTACCGTTTTAGGGGTTGAAAGCGGACGATCTATCCAAATTTCGAATGGAGCATTGTTCCAAATTTCGATATCTGAAAGAATAAGTAAGTGATGGTTAAATATTTAAGTTATACTTACTTGTGTGAGTTTCCATTTAAGTAAAAATATTTTCATAAGTTTTGCTAAACGAACACGCTATGAATATTTAAGTGAAGAAGCTGTATTTATACGAAAGAACCTTATATATGCGAATATCGATGGAATGGGGAAATCCAAACCTTTTTGGAGAGGTGTATTCGTTAGGAGGAGCACGAATCCCAAGAAAAAAAATTTTAATGGGCAGTCGATATCTTCAAATAGTTTGAGATATTGGTAGATAATTTGTAGAGAGGAAATGCTCAATCATGCTCCTTGATCAATTAGTTTAAACCCCACACATATATAGTGCAAAAATATCGAGCAGCTGCAGTAAGCATGAGTGCTTCGCCCCGTATTAAAATATTGCAGAACATTGTAGTCGTGCCCGCGAAAGAAGCTGATGTGCAAGAAAACGAGTTAATAGAAGATATTTTTAAAGATTTAATTTGTCCAGATTTCGATTATTCGCTTCTTGAAGAAATCTTCGGTGACATTGAATGCCTTAACCGTCAACTTATAGACGCCGAAAAACAACTTTCTCGATTTTTTAAGATTTTATCTATTAAACGGGAAAACAATTTTTGCGATCTCCAGTGGTGCCATTGCCAAGTGGAGCACCTTATTGAAAGGAGGGCAAAGTTATTAGCGGACATCCAACAGTTATCCGTAGGGTAAGTAATTGAGTGGAGTTACTTTTTTTTTGTCATTTACTGTTATCTAGGAGCTTCCAGTAAAAATATTGAAGAGTTCAGATTTTGGGGGATCATTAAGCCGGTGTGCCAACTGCTTATTTAAAAAAGGAGATCAAGCTCGTTTATAAGGTGAGAAAGTTGCGAAATTATTTCATTTGTGACTCAATTTTATAGGAATCAAAAATGTTTATGTGTGAAAAATGTAATAAATCATTCGCTACTAATAGCAATCTTCGACGCCATCTCAAAAAGTCATGTAGAGGTAAGGAATTTTTATTACTCTTGCAAAAAAAAAGTGTTTAAATCGTAGCTCAAGAACCATCTCCAAAGAAGCTCAAAGTTACACACGATACCCAGAGATTTTGCGATGTGTGTTCGGAGCACGTTTCAAGCCGAGATTATGTTGGACATTTGCGAAGTGTCAAACATAAAAATAATTCCCTTGCGTTTTCAACTGAAGGGGTTCAAGTAATTACGTCAGCCTTCAAATCTCGCATTGTGAGCTACAGAATATCAGCGAATACACAATACATTAATCTGAAGGAATTTGTCGAATCGTTGGCTGACGTAATAAAAAAATTAGTTCGTGAGCAAATTGATATCATGGGTAGCGTTAAGGTGAACTGCGAGCTGTTTGGTTATTTTATTTTGGAATCGAAGGATCGAGGAGAAGTTAAGTCTTTTAATACTCGTAACCAAGTATTGACGATAAGTTCCGACTTAAGTGAATGGTTTAAGGATATCATCGAAAAACTGGAAGTTGACGCAACGGAATTTGAACATCGCGAGTCAGGTATTAATATCCAATTGTTTATGCCATGTTTACATAATTATTTGTTCTAGGATGGGCTCTTCAGCACTGGTTATATATGGAAGTCAACATTAATAAATATAACCCGCTACGAGCTTCTTCATTCATACCGACCCCTGCATTTATCTCACGCAAAAGAGCCATTATTAATGTAAAGAACGAGGATTTCGGATGTTTTGGATGGGCGCTAGTTGCAGCTATTTATACTCCAACTGGACATCCCTGCGAACCGGATTCGTATCCGGACTATTTAGAAAAGTTCAATTTTGAAGGAATAACGTTCCCGGTAAAATTAGATGCGATATCAAAATTTGAAGAAATGAATCCCTTGTCCATTAACGTTTACGGTTTAGAGGAGGACACACAGAAACAAGGTAAAATGACATATAAAGTAGTAGGTCCTTTACATTATACCAAACAAAAGAAAGCCGTGCATGTAAATCTTTTATACTTGTCTAATTTAGATGGCAACAGTCACTACTGCTACATTTCTAATATGTCGCGATTAATTTCCATGCAAGTGTCCAAGCACAAAGAGGCTATTTATCTATGTGACGGATGCTTGCAATATTTTACAAGTCAGGAAAACCTGTGGCGTCATTCTAGATTCGATTGTAATTATGTTTGTACATTTTTGCCTACAAAGGAACCTATCTTGACAAAGTGGGGCCAGCCGTCATTTGATAATCGACTTAAATTTAATAATTACCAAAATAAAGTCAAACACCCGTTTGTTGTCTATGCGGATTTCGAATCGTTGCTTAAGCCCATAGAAGGACCTCAACCGAATCCTCTTCTTCAATTTACTACCAAAACATTTGAGCACGAACCATATTCGTTCGCGTATTATATTAAATGTTCTTTTGATGATAAATTTTCAAAGTTTCAAATTTATCGAGGTGCCAATGCCCCAGTGCAGTTTATAAATATGCTACAGAATGATATTCTAACCATATACAATCAACATTTTAAGCAAAGTAAACCTTTACAAATTTTAACAGAAGAGGAACGGAGACAAATTAATCTTGCCACAAGTTGTGGGATTTGTGAGAAACCTTTTGTTGAGGGAGATGTAAAAGTGATCGACCACGACCATCAGACTTCTTTCGTCAGGGCCGGATTATGTCATTCTATATGTAATTTACAGCTTCAAAATCCAAATTTTATCCCTGTATTTTTCCACAATTTGACCGGGTACGACAGCCATCTTTTCGTTAAATCCCTGGCTTTAGAGAATGAAAATATAGACGTTATTGCCGGAAATAAGGAAAAATACATTTCTTTTTCGAAGCATATTGTAGTAGATCAAATCGTGGAGAACGGAGTTCCAAAAAACCTAATATGGAGAATACGTTTCGTCGATAGTTTTCGTTTTCTGGCCAGTTCATTAAATGTTCTTGCTAAAAATTTGAGTGATAGCGAGTGCACTGAAATTACAAAATTTTTTGGATCTGGACGTGAATTTGAATTAATTCGACAAAAAGGTGTTTTTCCGTATTCGTTTGTAGACTCATACGATAAGCTTAATCTAACTACGATCCCCAATAAAAGCGATTTCTTTGATATGTTGCACGAGCAGGACATTACCGATGAAGAATACAGACGTGCTCAGGAAGTTTGGAATTTATTTAATTGCCAGACGTTGGGCGAATACTCGGACATTTATTTAAAATCTGACGTGCTTTTATTGGCCGATATATTTGAAAACTACAGAGGCGTGTGTTTACGCGAGTACGAAATTGACGCTGCCCAATATCTGACCGGTCCTAGCCTTAGCTGGGACGCTATGTTAAAAAAGACGGATGTGGAATTAGAATTACTGACAGATATTGACATGCTTCATTTTTTTAAACGTGGTATTCGAGGCGGCGTCAGTACGTGCACCAAACGCAAAGCAATCGCTAACAATAAATTTCTTCCCAATTACGATCCTTCCAAACCAAGCTCATTTATTATTTATCTGGATGCATGCAATCTTTATGGTCATTCCCAAACACAATTTCTCCCACAAAGTGACTTTGTTTGGCTCACACCCGAAGAAATTCAAAATTTTAATGTTTTCGAAATATCAGATGAGTCACCGATCGGGTATGTCTTAGAAGTTGATCTACTGTACCCTGAGGCCCTCCACAATTTGCAAAATGACATGCCCTATTGCCCCGAATCTATAACCCCGCCAAATTCAAGGTCAAAGTATAAGAAACTAATTCCAAATTTAAATCATAAGGAAAAATACGTTTTACATTATAGAATGCTAAGACAATGCCTGCAACACGGATTAATTTTAAAAAATATTCATCGCGGGGTTAAATTTATGCAATCGCCTTGGTTAAAATCATATATTGATCTAAATACGGAACTGCGTAATCGTGAAACTAGCGAATCGGGCCGTGACACTATAAAAACTATGAATAACAGCATTTATGGTAAAACTATGGAAAACGTTGACAAACGAGTTAACGTTGCACTTGTAAGTCACTGGGAGAGGATCGGTAAGAAGCCTGGAGCTGAGGGGCACATATCTAAACCAAATTTTAAAAATTTATCGGTGTTCTCTGAAAATCTCGTGGCAATTGAAATGTCCAAAGTATCCGTAAAGTACAACAAACCGGTGTATGTTGGTTTTTCAATTTTAGATTTATCCAAAACAGTTATGTACGAGTTCTTTTACGATTTTCTAAAACCATTATATCAAGATAAAGTATCTTTGTTGTATACAGACACCGATTCCCTTATATTGGAGATTTTTACTAATAATTTCTATGATGACATGAAATTATATTTGGATAGATATGACACATCTAAATTTCCCCTTGATAATGTACACGGTATTCCACGCAACATTTCAGTTGTGGGGAAGATGAAAGATGAATATTGCGGTGTCCCCATCGCTAGTTTTTACGGTGCAGGTGCAAAGTCATACTGTGTCAATGTAGGTGATCGTGTAGATAAGAAAGCTAAAGGGGTAAAAAAGTATGTAATAAAGAACGGCTTAAAAGAGGAAGATTATAAGAAAGTAGTCGAAGAAGGTGGCGTGATTATGAAGCAGATGAGCGGTTTTCGATCTCACTTGCACACCATGTACACAGAAATGACAAACAAAATAGCCTTATCATCAACGGACGACAAAAGATACATTATCCCTGGCACCTGCAGAACATTGGCATGGGGACATCGCGATATTAACGCAATTCAAAATTTGGAAGATTTTCTTAATTCTTTGTAATCATCAATAACAAGCTAAGTTATTTAAAATGTTTATTTAAAATGTTTACAATACCATGTGCCATAATTACAATAAAAAAATAAATCGCATTGTTTTATTAAATAAGATGAGCGCCCGGACTACAACCACAAACGCAGTAGGTCTTCTCTGTTTCATTAATCTTCAAGCAGGCCATACGATTTAATAATCTTGCATATCTGCAACGTGACGACCAACGAAGGTGCTCAGCTAAGGGTACATCGGAGGCCTCCCACTTATTAATGCGCACTTTACAATAAAAGCATTCCACCGTATCGCCGCTATGCGTGTAGAAAAATCCAGCATTAGCAAGTTCAACGGCCGATGGAACTCCTACCCATGAATGAAATGATAGGAGTCGATCTTCAAAGTTGGTATAATCAGCTGCGCCGTCTTCTAAACACATCTTACTTGATGTACAGCTTTGAAATGCCAAAATTTATAGAATATCTTTATTTAATACCCAAGAATTGTGAGAACTGTCAAATCCTAACCACTTCACTAAGGATTTCTGGCCCTTTCTTCGAATTACTCGCTCAACCAAGTGGATGTCGGGGAACTGCGCTTTTTGTAATTCTTGTTCGTAAAATCTTCCTTTTATTTCTTGATTTGTACTATCTTTTAGTATATATGTCGTAGGATTTGAACGTTTCACTTTAGCAACTGTGAATGTCTCGTAAGTCCAATTTGGCGTGTAACCTTTTGCGAAAACGGTTCTGTATTTACTAATTCTCACAGAATCGTCCACTTTAAATTTAGGTGGTTTTGGGTTAATCACATTTATATGACTGTAAACTCTCTTCAAAATACTTGAGGCGTTCTTCTCGTTAACATCGATAGGTTTATATCCCGTAGTTCGATGTTTAGTTGAATTGTATTTGTCAACTATTTGAGGTAAAAGTGATAGCCATTTGTAGGAACCCTGTAAGCTGAATTTCTTGAACATAATTGACTTAAGCGTTCTGTTAACGCGCTCAACAATAGAGCTTTTTAGGGTAGAATAGCTACTATAATGATTGACATTGAATTTCTTCATTACATCTCCAAAATCCTTGTTATAAAATTCCTTTCCCATATCTGTTTGTAAATGCTTCGGGGTCGTTTTAAGTCCCGATAAAAGTTTATTCATAACATCTGCCACCAGTTTTCCATTTTTTCGTTTTATAGGGTACGCCCAAACAAATTTAGAAAATGTGTTTATAACCACCAAAATGTAACGGAAACCTTTGTTCAAAGGTGCATAAGGTATCATTTCCACCAAATCGGCTTGGAATAGGTCATTTAGTCCTTTAATAATTACGTGCCGCCTAGGAAAGTTCCTTCTTGCAGGTTTATGTAATTCTTCCACTAGCTGTACTTTACTCATTTCCTGAGACGTGATTGTAATAGTAGTTCCAAGCAAAATAACTGCCCTGCATTATACTTCGGACATTTGGCTTTGATGATGTCACCTTTACGTAGTGTTATCCCTATTAACTTCAACGGAGTATTGTACAAACGTTCGTTTATAATAATAGTAGTTCCGTGGCGCGGTGACCAGGAACTCTTAATTACAACACATTCCGTTAGAGGAAATGCAAACGCTTGTGGTGTTCTACTCGAGGTGTGCCAACGTATGAACGGCGTATTCTCGGCGTGCGTTCCCAACAGATACAAGTATGACTCATACGTATAAGAAGACACCTCTTCAGCTTTTGATTGATTTAGAATGTGTTTACCGAACTTGTCAATACTCATCTTTGCTTCAGACTGATCGATTAAAGATACAATCTCACTATTTATTTATTAAGAACACATTACCAACTAAATTACTTTATTATTTCAGCATTCCGCAATTCATCTATGATGTATATGATTTCATTGTGATTGTTCGTGTTCCCTGCGGATTGAGATCCCAATAAAACCCGCAGCCAGTTAACTAATTTGTTGGGGTTGCTCCAGGGCATAAATTCTATTCGCTTGTTGTTTAATTGTAACATTTGAATACCTTTCCCTTTCCTTGTGCTAACAGAGGAAGTTTGAATTCTGGGAACTGATACACGGGTACTAAAAAGTGGTTTAATGATGCTGCTGTACTTTTTTCCGGTGCCTTGAATTTGTTCATTTGGATTGTAATGACGTCGTATTGCATTAGTGCGGAGCAATATGTCACGATAGTTATTCTCATCTGCGGTTTTGTACCCAAGAGGTTGCCTCTTAAACAGTAGCTCGTATAGACCAGGAGTTCCGTTATATGCTACTGTGTCTCCTGTAGGAAGTTTGAGAACCAAATCTTGTTTGTCAAAGTCCAACTCGGAATCTCCAACGTAGAATTTATTGGCTTCCGGGATGTATCGTACACCATATCGATGATCAAATTCATTCTCTGTAGATCTGAACATCTGCTCCACATAAATCTTCGCCAATCCATCGTATTGATCTAAGAATTCCGTAAAAGATGGATGGTCGCCAGCCCGCGAGAGCTCAGCTCTTAATTCATCTAGAGTTGGCGTTTCATCATCGCGAGTGGTGTCGGCAATCACGCTCGTGTCTAAAAAGCTCGGTTGTTCCTCGTGTTCCGAAAAAAGGGTTTTAGGGATTCGTTGAGCAGTAGACGCTTTTAGAGGGGTCCGAAGTAGGGTCTCTGTAGATGAGGTCACGTCGGCACTATCATGTTTAATATTTTCACGTTTAAAATTCTGAGGTGTAGCTTTAGTAAGCAGTTGCTTCAGCGGTTGTGTAATGGGTTTAAGATGTTGCTCGGATTTACGTTCTGCCAGCGCAAAATCACGCTTTAAGGATATGTATTTATGTTTAACAGATTTTCTGGCATCAAGGAGGACTTCTATTAAACGCTGTTTCATATTGACTGCATTTTTTCCATATGAAACATCGATATTTATATTAAAATGTAACAATCAAAACCTTTCCTATATCGACCCGAGTTCATGTCACTTTCTTTATCGATAACTAAGAATCCATATTTATCATTCCAGCACCTCACGCACATTTCCTTAAAGCGATCAAATGGCATATCGACATTCACGTGATCTTCGTGCACGTGTTTTAAATTAGTTTGATCCTGTTGAAACAACACAATTAAATTAGCATTGTCTCGAATTAACTGCTTGGGGATTGCCGAATACGTTTGACATAAATAAAAACAATCGTTATTTTTATGTCTACCAAAACAAAAATGTTCTCTGATCTCGTTTTGCTTATGGCAAGCAACGTCATCGAAAATCATTACCGAGTTGCTACGTGCGAGGTTAGGTGGGACGATGTCTGCACTGTCAGTATATTCAAAATTCCCAATTTCCTTAATTGGGGACAACAACTGACGCAGATATTGGTATTTCGGTTGCGGCAGCGATTTACAATACACGTATACATTTTCAAAGCGTAAACCGTTGGATTGTTCTAATAATGCAATCATAACATTCGTTTTACCACAACCTGATCTACCTACAATGATGCCACGTTTGCAACCACCCTGTAACAGGCTACTGTGTTTTGAAACTCGTTTATCTCTCGAACACGCGTCGTAATTTTTTATAGGTAGTGCCGTTTCTTGCGGTTTGAAGCGTATGGAGGCCATTGCTCTACTGGAAGTGTATAAAACACTGAAACCTACTATATAAGTCCGTATATGCTTAGGAGCTCAGTAGTTGCCTGTCAACCAGCGAGCATGAACTTTCACTCTAACGTTAAGAAAAGAAGAATAACGTCTAAAACGGGGAAAGGTCTTATTAACAATTTAATAAATAACCTGCCAGTTGAATTGCATCTGCCCGGATACCAATTTTGCGGTCCTGGCACTCGTCTAAGCAAGCGATTGGCTCGCGGTGATCGAGGTATAAATCCGTTAGACGAAGCGTGCAGAGATCACGATATAGCATATTCAAGGTCTAGCAATATCAGTGACCGCCACGAGGCCGATAAAAATTTACAAAAAGCTGCGTGGGAGAGGTTTCGTTCGAGAAACGCCACTTTTGGCGAAAAAGCAGCCGCCCTTACCGTTGCAGGCATTATGAAAGGTAAAAGAACGTTGGGTATGGGTACGCGACGACGTACCATCAAAAAAAGAAGAAGAAACACAGCATCAATTTCGTTTAACAAAGGCGTTCAACTAGCTAGAAAGTATACTGGTGGTAACGTTCACTATGATCTGAATACAACTGTTCGACGAGCATTTAACGCGTTAAAGAAGAAAAAGGTCAAACCGCCAAAACAGCGCATTTTACCCATACCTAAGACTGGCGGATTCATACCGTTAATTCCATTGTTTGCTGCACTGGGAGCGGCAGGTTCGTTAGGAGGAGGAGCGGCTGCTATTGCTAGAGCAGTAAATGGCGCGAGGAATGCCGCCAAACAATTGGAGGAGAGCAAACGTCATAATGAAGTGATGGAGGCCGCCGCGATAGGAAAAGGTTTATACTTAAAACCGTACAAGACAGGGTTAGGCCTTTATTTAAACCCCTATCAAAAAAACTTCCAGTGAAGCTACCCCGCCGTCCGTTAACAGACTTGGATTTGTCGAAATATGTCAACAATTTAGGAATACAACATTTTAGAGGTATTTTTATGCGGAATACCTTACCGAAGAAAATAAATCGGAACGAATGCGGTATCGTAAACCTAGACGATGAAAATAACGACGGTACACATTGGACAGCGTATGTTAAGCTTGGCACACGTATTTCCTATTTTGATAGCATAGGACGGGTAAAACCACCCCCCGAGCTAGTGCGCTATTTTCGAAGCGATGGTAGCAGGAACATTATTAAATACAATTACGATCACATACAACTTCCTAATTCTTTTAATTGTGGACATTTAGTGCTACGATTTTTATACAATAACACACACTGATTGCGTTAGTTACATTATTATTGTCAAACGACAATGTCTTATACATTGACATTTACTGGTACGACATCTATTTTAAAAGCCTTCTTTCGACCGCCGCTTTTACTCAATGATGAGGATTATGTAATGGGGCTAACAAACTTTGAAACCTATAATAGTATACACAACGTTACACCAACAAATAATAAATTCAAATATGGTAATCAGATGATCACAATACCGCCAGGATGTTACGAGATATCCGACATAAATAACTACATAAATGCCCAATTAAACAGGACATCTGGAGATTATGTCGAACTTCAAGCTAACAATAACACTATGCAGTCGGTTATTAAAGCGAACCGGCCCATAGATTTTACTATAGAAAACTCGATAGGAGAACTGTTAGGGTTCGAGAAAAAAACTCTCAGTGCAGAAGAAACTCATACTTCCAGTAATACCATCAACATCTTAAAAGTTAATTCTTTGTTAGTGGAGTGTAGTATCACCACTGGAAACTTTAAAAATGGCGTACCAGCCCATACAATTCACCAGTTCTTTCCAAGTGTGCCAGCGGGGTACAAAATAATCGAACGACCTCTTACTGTAATTTATTTACCTATTAATGTTTCTTCGGTTACCAGTATAACCCTTAAAATACTTGATCAAGACGGCGACATTGTCAATTTTAACGGAGAAGTGATTACGATAGGGTTACACCTTAAAAAGGCGAATCATGGTTAAACGATATAATCAATGTGGGTGCAAGCACGATCACAATAAAAAGGCTCAAGTTGTTCGGTCGAAGATTAGTAAGGGTGCAACAGTCAAACCACTCACAGCTGTTAACAAAGCTTTTCTAAAATCTCTCGGCTTTACTACTTTACAATGAATATATTGGACGTAAATGAGAAAGTGCTTGTAGATAACAGCATAATAAATTATCAATATCATACTCACCAACCGTACACTACGAGATTTGGAAATAATGACGAAATTAGAATTCCAATACAAGAAGATATGTGCACTCTTCCTTCGGAAAGTCATCTCTACATTGAGGGAAAATTACTGCGAGAAGATGGGACGGCGTCACTTACCGCAAGATTTGTAAATAACGGTGTAGCATTCTTGTTTAGTGAAATTCGTTATGAAATAAACGGGATTGTAGTGGATTCCCTTACTAAAGCCGGATTATCATCGACAATGAAGGCTCTAGTTTCTTTAACCCCTAACGACAATACGCGATGTCAAATTTCCGGATGGTTTCCTACTGCTAATAGTACGGTTACCAGTCCAACGGGCCATTTTAACGTTTGTATTCCATTAAAGATGCTCTTGGGCTTTGCGGAAGACTACAGAAAAGTCATATTAAATATACGACAAGAACTTGTTCTAATCCGAGGTAATACAGATAATGACGCCGTAATATCTACAGCTGCCGATGAAGCTCTCAAAGTTGACATCGAGAAAATCTATTGGAAAGTACCTCACATTATTCCGGCGCTGGCCGAAGAATTAGCTTTGACCAAATACATTGACAAGAAATCGGAAACGCAGATAGCGTTTAGAAGTTGTGAAACGCACCTATACCCAGCTCTTCCACAAAAAATAAACATACGTGGGCGATAAAGACAGCAACTAGTTTAGAAACGCCCCGATATATTATCGTAGGTTTACAAACAGATCGGGATGGACAAGTTAGTAAAGATATGAGCAAATTTGATCACTGCGATATTAAAAATATTCGAGTCTTTCTCAATACGGAACGTTATCCTTACGATAATTTAAATATTAATTTCGGGAATAATCGATACGCAACTTTATACGACATGTACGCAAAGTTTCAATCTTCTTACTACGGCACAGAGAATCGACCATTACTTACACCGAAGCAATTTAAAGATTCGG